CGCGGTGACGTAACGCGCAACGCTAACGTAACCGTAATCAACGTCCTACTGTGACGTGGCACTCATTACGCCACAGGCAAGCACTGCAGCTATATAAGTGGATGCACAGTGCGTATCGATCAGTTCGAGTTCGAGTTCGAGTTCCAGTGTGGCTACCGCCGAAGACATTCCGAGTTATAAAGTAACAGCCAGCCGACTACAAGTTGGAGTATAGCAGCCGTCGCGGAAAGAAGATCCGGACGCGTGTGCGATTGTGTAATTGGGAGCGTGTGATACAGTGATACCTAGCTCCCCTACTGTCAACGTGTTACTACTGAAGACAGAGTGAACTGATTTGCGCATAGGGTTATAAGTCGTGAAACCCCGCAACAGTGTTAACAGATTAATGCGATTAGGGTTATAAAGTGTGAAACCCCGCAACTGTGAGATAATTAATTGTAGCCGTTATTTGTAGATTGTTAAATAAACCCAATTAACCATCTCTACGGCGTCTTCGGTAACGCAAACACGTTACATTGGTGTCAGAAGTGGGATCAGTAACGCAAAACACGTTACAATATCATTTATATGAACTTCATTCTTCAGTGTAGTTAACTTTTATTCACAGAGGTCAGCAGCAGTGGTTCTGTTATAAACAAGATTTTATATTGCATAGCCTATACAGGACAAGGCAAAATAACAACCATCTCATACTAATAGTGTCATATATAACGTTTGGTTCCCATTTTTGTTGTCAACAGAGACACCTTAATCTCATTGGAAAACCAGCTTCTTGTTGCACTTATTAATTATTATTATTATTATTATTATTATTATTATTGCTGTATTCGTTGTTGTTCTAGCTGTATATTCAGACATATCATTCTACAATCCATTAGGAACAGTTGGTGGTCGATAGACCCCTGCAGAAGCAGAAGTAACTGACCACCAGCAGTACGACACCAAAGTTACTGGGGTGCCCTGCAACACGTGTCCCTCTTAGAACACAAAGAGTTCCTAAAATCCATGAGGAACAGGTAGTGGTCCGTAGACCCCTGCAGAAGCAGACGGAACTGACTACACACAGTAAGACACCGAAGCTACAGGGAT